GTCTATATTATTTAATGAAACATGCATTATATATATATATATATATATATATATATATATATATATGAATAAAAATGACAATAGGAAAACTAGTAATTGCTGATGTGTTTCGTCCAATGTGGACTTTATCAAAAGCAAAATACGAAATGAATTTAATTGAAACAAGGTAACTAATAAAAACAAAAACAGAATTTTACTAGCAACCTTGTTGCTATTATTAGTTACCTTGTTTCAATTAAATTCATTTTGTATTTTGTTTTTGATAAAGTCCACATTGGACTAAAACGCATCAGCAATTATTAGTTTTCCTATTATAATTTTTTATTCATAAATATTGTCTTCTACTGGTTAAATGGAGAAATTTCATATATATATATATATATATATATATATATATATATATATATATATATATATGTAATTAATACAGCAGTCACTGCAATTCCAACAGACAATTGCTGATACTCTTTGGTGAGTGAGTAGAGTGATTCCTAGAGGGTCTGTCTATGAAACTCTGGAGGTGAGATGCTGAAGGTAACATCAATCAACTTAGTGACAAACTTTTTACCTGTATTATTTCAGTGTGTCACTGTATCACAATTTTTCAACTTTACTCCTAGAGGTCATAGCCCAATATATCATACCATTTTGGAGTCAGGCTGATTCTGTGAGTAAATTAAAAACATTCCGGGCCAGATTTGGACCTGCAATCCTGAAATTTTGGATTCAAAAGTTTTCATTACTGCAATTGTTTTCAGATTCCGCCATCTTGGCTTCTCCTAATAAAAACAATTAAAGGAACACAACTCTCTCACTTTCAATAGTTCATGTTCAAATGAAAAAAAATACTGTTCATAAATTAAGGTGTTTCAAAATAAAATTGTCTGTCTTTTCAATTTTACTCCTAAAGGTCATAGCCCAGCATAGCATACCATTTTGGAATCAGGCCAACTCTGTGAGCAAATTAAAAACATCCCAGGACAGAACTGGACCCACAATCCTGAAATGAAGGATTTCCAATTTTTCATTACAGCGATTGTTTTTGGCAATTTTTTTATGTGATTTTTTGCAACAAATTTTTTTGTGCAATAACAATTATTATAACTTGGAAATAAATTTGGGAATAATTGAAATTAATTACAAAATCCAGCAAATGTCACCCATGAAATAAAAATAATTGTATGTATAGAAAGTAAGGACCTATGTACATCAAACTGTCTTTAAAATAAGTGGTGGCAGAAGAATTATCATTGAACTTTTAAAAAGTAAGCTTAAATATTAATGCAATACTTACAAATGCAGCGATCAATTTTGAGTTCTGTAGTTTATTGTTGCATATCACACCTACTCCTCCATACCCATTGTGATGAAGGCCCAATCAAGAGCCTTCTGCAGGATCTAGCTTAAATGCTGCCCAAACCTAATAGGGTGGCTTTTAAGATTGTGTGTGTGTGTGTGTGTATATATATATATATATATATAGACACATAAACCAGACTAGGCGGATACATCTTCCGTTTCAAATTTAGACACCCCCACCTTACCCTGACTTGACATCTATGAAAGTAACTCTATACTGATACTTATTATTAACACCCAGCACACCCCTACCCATTTTAAACAATCTGCCCTAGCTGTTACCATGGAAATGTTGATTTCAATTATTAAAACACGTAAATTTCAGAAATAAGTTATTCCCCAAAAATTTCACTTGAAGATGGAACAGAGCTTACTTTAACTCAATTTAATTCAAATAATTATATTGAAGTTTTCGGCTCTTGTTTTGAAACATGAGACCTCTTATGTTGCGAGTTGGAATCATATTTTTAAATAAATAATTATATATATATATATATATATATATATATATATATAGGTAAACACTTTATGTTGAATTAACAGCCAATGCTTGGAAAACAACATAAAGGAACCAAGTTAAAATTCTGATGGATTCTGTTTAAATGTACTCAGTAATAATGGACTTGAAGAGGCATAAATTCATTTCTCCTGTGTTCTATCCAAGGTTGATAAAGGTCTCATCATCAGCATGCTATTATTTTTGACAGAAAAAAAAAGTATGGGACTGATCATTTGGGTAAATCACTTTCCCATAACTACCATTACCTGTCCAGATATTAGCAGTAAAAAAAAAAAAAGCTGTTACCACAATTGTCAACCTTCCAGGATCTAGTCTTCAGTGGTTCCCAACATTTTTTTATTTCCTGCCCTGCTTTGAACTCAGAATTTTTCAGTGGCCCATGAAATTATTATAGTGTAAAAAATTACTTCCATTTTGTATCCCATAAGGTGTGGCCCAGTAAAAATTATAAAATTTCTGTGATCCAGCTGAAATTTGGCATGGCCCATTTTGTCCATGTGGCCATAGGTTGGGAAACACTAGATCAACAGCACCTGTTTAAGAACACAGTTTGATGTGGCGAAAGTGGGGGATAATTATCTTTTCAACGTGAGAACTTGTCAATGACCTGATGACTATGAAAGACACTGACCTTGATATTCTTTGCATATATGATAAGACGATAGCTAAATAAAAAAACAAAACAAAATTAAATCCAAAGTACTATCTGCCGGGTTGGTGAGTCTTATGACAACATCTGCACCTGTTGGAAAGCCTACCTCACAGATTATTATTCATGATTGAAGTAGGGTTGATCCTCACTAAGTGACCTACGGATGTCCTTGCACTAAAAGCTAAATACTAATATATTTGCTTGGAGAAAAAAATGTCAGTAAAAATAAGACAGAAGAAACAGTAAAGAAATATGGTATATAAACAAACTATACAGAATAAAATGGTAGGTAATTTTAAGAAGGTTTTTAGCCTGATGAAGTTCATTTGAAGGACGAAACATGTTACATTGATTTTTTTTTTTGATTTTTTTATTCATATACCTTAGCAATTTGATATTCTTAACTAAGTTTTGTTCTTGTAAAATTCATTATTATGTCTTTGTTTGTTTTTTTCTTTTCTTTATTACCATCTCCTTAATCACCTTGTTTTTTTTCTTTCTCTTTTAGTTTGGTTGTTGTTGGTTGTACTTGTTTTTTAGTTTTTTTTTTTTCCTTGTTGTTCGCCTTTGTACATATGAGGCAACGTAATATATAGTGAAATAAACAAACAAAAATGTTAGTCTGCACATGTTACCGCCACTGTCGGGAGCAATTTCGCAAAATGTCGTGGGTAGACAATTATGGTTGGGGGTTTGAACATGTGGCAGGCGGTATGCTGTGCACACAGGAGCTTTTCAAGGAATGTACACTTCACAGAGATGTTTCGACTTTTTCTCTTCTTCATCATTTCCCCGACTCTTCCTTCTGTTCTGATTATTTTCTCCCCTTTTCGTTTTTCTCTCTATCCTCTTAACTTCTGCTTGTGACTAATTTTGTACAAGGAACCGATCTGAATCAATTTTTGCTCTTTAGCTTCGTGGAATAATGGATAGCGCCTCGGATTGAGGACTCGGAGAGCCGAGTTCGAATTCCAGTCGAATCCATTACATTCATTCACTTACGTGCTAATACCCTTGGGAAAGGTATGAATCCTCTTCTTCTCCCCCAATTTATTATAATTTATAATAAAAGGAATGAGGAGTAATGGATAGCGCTCAGGTAAAATCCATTACATTCACTTACGTGCTAATAGCAAGGCAGACCATGTTCTCAATTTAGCCATGAGGAGTAATGGATTGAATGGTAACTGGTCTATCCACAGCTAAACCCTTGGGAAAATGGCCTCCTTCTGCTGATTTATTTATTAACACAAAAAAAAATCTGCCTTGTCAGTTATGCTCAGATTGAAAGAGATATGATTCAGTCGAATCCATTACATTAAGTGTGTATCATGCATGGCACAATAACCATGACTGATGAAATCAACTTGCGGGAAAAAAAATCTGCCTTGTCAGTTAATGATCGCCACCCATATAAACTATTTACTTACTAGTTTACTTACTTACATGAGCTTCTGTTTTTCACAAGCGTAAAATATGCATTTTTTTCTTTTTAATTTCTTTTTTTTAATTTCTATTTACAATTTTACACCTTTTCTTTTCAGACTTAAAAAGAAAAAAATTATATTGTTTGAAAATAAATGTTTTCTTAATATTTTTAAACTTTAATTAATATATCTATTTTTAAATGCTTTTTAATATTTTAAAAGTTAATTATTGATTTTTTTAAAATATATTTTAAAAGTTAATGTTGCTGCTTAATATTCGAATTAATATTATTAAGTTAATTATTAGTTAAAATCAAAAAATAATATTAACTTTTAAAGCTTTAAATTAAAGAAAGGTACTTTGTGACTCATGCGTTATCTGTTGCCACTTTTTATTTGGCGATCTTTTATAAAGTTAGATGTGGTATTTAAAATGTTTTTTAATTAATTGTTTTTTCTTCCAGACTGCTATTTGGGGTATTTTTTTACACATCTGTATTTGTGAAAAAGTTGGAAAATTAATTTAAAAAGTGGCGAAGATAACCCACAACTGTTTTTTTTTTAATATTTTAAAAATATTCCTTTTTCGTTTTTAATATTTTCAAAGTTAATACAGCATTTTAATTTATTTAAATTAAGAATTACTTTAAAAAATAAATAAAGAAAAAAACTAAAAGACAAAACTTAAGAAAAATGAAAAAGCAAGCTATGGTCAACTCAACAAATGTCACATGAAGAAAACGAAAAAGTGAAGATTGTGTTGTGATATTTTATAAATGGGGAGAGGTTGTTTGCTTTGAAAATCAGTATATGAAATTTCTGATTTCACCTGAGCTTGATCATTGACCTCTGGAGGTGGGGGGTTGGGGTTAAAGAGCAACTGATTTTGCCACAAGGATAGTGGGAGATAAAAAGTCAATGCGTCAATAAGATTTAGAAAAATAAAAGACAGGAAGGAAAATAAAAGAAAGGAAAAAAGAAACGAGGATGAAGAAAAGGAAGAAGGAAACAAAGGTGAAGAAAAAAGAAAGGGCGAAGGAAA